AGTCTCATAAGAGGCAATGGGTGGTCTGGCCGTAAACACTTGCAAAGGAAAAGGATAAAACCACCACCATTCGATTCGTCTCAGTGAGATGATTCTAACAAGCTATGATACATCTTTGTACGATTATTAGATGCCAAGTTATTTAATATATTCTTTATATAACTGTGATTATAAACGGTTCTTTTTAATATAAGATTTTTGAGGATAGGTGTGATATTGACTATAGATAGATTGTGACTATATAGGATAGATTTTAATAATAAAGTGTTTTGAACATTCAACTGGTGTGACTATATAGTAGAATGTGACTATAATGGGAGTGACTATAGAGGGAGTTGACTGTACTTAAAAATTAATATATCAAAAAAATATATATATACTAAAAGGTTTAATAGAGCATAAATAATGAAGGAATGAAAATATTCATGTAAAGGTGATAATATTTTATATAACACAAAATTCATCGATCATCTAACTTTTGATTTATATATTGTACAGACCTATAATTTTGTATGTGACCAAGATTAGTATTGATCTTCAATCCTGGAAATTTTCAGAATAGGTTATCACATGACTTCGTAAAATGTTGGCATAAGGAAACTTATGACCAGGATTGTAAATGTTAATAGTTTATAAGTTTCAAAAAATTTAATGAAGAAATACCTTAAATTTTGAAACAAGTTTAATATTTATAATATTTAATAAATTAATAATCAATATCATACTGAGAAATTCATAAACTGTAAAGTAAATTTTATTATAAAAATAAAACAAATCCAGATTTTAGAAATAAAACCATTTTAAAATATAACATTTATTATAATAATAATAATCATTAAAAAAAATAATAAATTTTACTATAGGATTTGATATAGTTTTATGACAGAACACTCTAATTATGACTGGACTATAGAGTTATAATCCATTAATCCATTTTAGCCATTTTATGAATATTAAATCAATAAAATGAATTTTTTTTTTTTGAGATATCTATAAATAGTGATCAGATCCTATATCTGAAAAACTATCCAGATTCAATCCAGATGGCTAAAGTTAAATAATTAAATCTAAATGTAAATTCATATCCAAAAATTTTACAGATTATCTAAATTTTTACAAATCTATCCTTAATTTAAAATCTATTCAGATTTATTCTATAGAATTTTTGTAATATTCTCATTAATCATTATTAATCTTTATTTGAAATATATCATTCAGATCAGCATCCTAGAATTACCATCCAGATTTATTAACAGATCCATCCATTTAAAAATATCAGATACAAATATCTAACTTTAATCCATATTGAAAGATCAACTCAAATTTAATGGATTTAGGATCAAAACACTACTTATAAATATCTATCAAGTTAAATTAAACTAAACCAAATTGTAAAGCTATTAGAATTAATAGATCAATGGAATTAACAGTTTAATTTAAATCAAATTAAACCATAGAACTAATAAAACTAATAAAATAAATTTAGAGAATTATTAAATTTAATTAAAGGAAAATTTCCTTTCCTTATTCTAATAATATAATATTATTAATTAAATTATAAAAACATTATTTGTATTTTATATATGATATTTTTTAATGTTAATACAATGGTAATTTGGATTCTTAAAGACATTTGATAATTGCATCCTTATAGGTGGGTATAGCTAATTTAAAAAATAGTTTTCATTGTTGTTAACTAATTTTAATGTAAGCATATATAAACCATCAAATTAAAATAAAAAAAAAAAAATTTTATATGTAATATTATATGAAGGAAAAAGTAATTTATCGACCCTTTTCCCCCCCCAATGCATCGACCCCTCCTTTGTAAAACGTTTAATTTATACATATTAATAATGGTAAAATGCGGAATATTTTTACTTTTTAATTACAGTGACGCAGTCACGCAGGTTCGATTCCTACACTGGGCTTTTTTTTGTTTATTTTTTTGTGTGATGCGTAAAACCGCTCTATGAGTAGTACCTAATTCAGATAGGCATACACGATTTTAGTAATAATCAGCGCGTGCTGTGTAGTCAAGTTTATGTTTTTCATTCTCACGCCCTCTCTCTCATCATTCTTTGCAATTATTAATTATTCACGATGCATTTATTCCCCCTTTTTCACCTTTCCTTGCAACATATACTTCCTTTCCTTGCGGTATTTCACCCTTTTCTATTTTACCGTTGCGACATTTTCCTTTGCAATATTTCTTCTGTTCTTTTTTTCCGGCTTCAATGGAAACGAATTACAACGTCGAAAATAACTCAGCGAGCCTTCATACGGGAAAGACACTTGCGAGCTGGACGATATGCGACCAATTCATTAGCAATTGGGGTAAGAGTAATGGCTTTGGTGTGATAAAAGACAAAGTTGTTAAGGAGGGAATTGAAATAAGGAGAAGGACGTATATATGCGAACATGTAAGGTTGCTTGTCTAAACCTCTTTAAAATCCTACGATTAGTTTCGTCAAAATTTTACTATAGATTTATTATAGTTTTGGCATAGTTTCAGCAGTTTCGGCATTTATAATAAGTTTCGGCAGTTTCACCTTTCTCCAAAGTTTCGCCAGTTTTTTAATATAACTTTAATATAGTTTCAGCAGAATTTCACTTTTCGGCAAAATGCCATCTTGCCTAAACCCCTAGGTTTCGGCAAGCAACCTTACGAACATGGAAGAAAATATACGTGCAAATCTGCGAAAGAAACTAGCACCAAAAAGATGTTATGCCTGTGGCATGTTAATAATGCTTCTTGTTCCAAAGTGAATAATCCAGATTCTGCGATTTTTATTAATAAAATTGTGGATGAACATAATCATGATCTGAGCGTCGAAGCAGTTAAGTTTAGGAAAGATAAGAAGTTTAATGATGAAATGGTAAGGGATATCCAATTTATGACCGATCACTGTAAAATGGGAGCGACCACGCAGAGAAGATATTTGGAAGGAAAATATCCTTCTCATCCCATTTACAGTCAAGACTTATATGCAACGATCAAGAAGTTTTGACCCACAGCAAAGTCACTTTCAAATGACGCTGCGCAAATGTCAGATTGGTTAGATGAGCAAAAAGAACGAGATTCTAGATGGATCATAGCGCGAGAATAGGATGACGATAACATGTTAACGCATTTGTTATGGATGACACTGGAGCAGGTAGAGAGCTGGATTCAATTCAGCGATTGCGTTATCAATGACATTACGCATAAAATGAATCGATACGGGATGGCGTTATCTCTTTTCGTGGGATTCGATCGAAATATGCAAAACATTATTTTTGCACAAGGTTTAACCATTGATGAAAGCAAGCAATCTTACGCTTGGCTTTTTAGACAGATTGTTGAAGCTACTGGTATTCATCCAACTGTAATTATGACAGATTCCGATCCGGCCGTTGACACTGCAGTTAAGGAGGTACAGTCAACTCTCTTTATAGTCACACATTTGGGACAGTCCATATTTGGTGATTATAAAGAGATGTGACTATATAAAAAATTTCTTATATTTGTATATCATAATTCCGGCCAAAAATTAACATAATTTTTGGCCGGAATTAAGATGTGTATAAGAGACAGGAATATTGTATCCGCGAGCAACTGACTCTTTATTGGAAGTTATCGGTAACACTCAATCGTGCTTTAGTTACGAGAGTCAGCTTACTGTAAGAGAATGTGAAGTATTAACCGATACAGGATCAATGGATTACGAGGTTCAATTTAACGATTTTATATAATGCATTTCATTCCTTGATATCTAAATTAAAAAATTTGTTGGTTTTTTTATAGTTTCGTCTTGTAGGGTTAAAGATCGTGCTCTCCCAGCTTTACAAGGTATTTAATTTTTATTAACTAATAAAGGGTTTTTAATCATACAATTTTGATTTATATAAATAATTTTTTTTTAAATAAGAAATTATAGGATTTGAGAATTTAACCAATTTAAATTTATTAAAGACAAATGTGACTATTGGCGTTTGAGAAAATTATTTGCAAATTTCTCCTTCGCAAAAACGTTGGATTGATGGACTTATCGTACTGTAATGGTGTTTTAATGGAAGACAGCGTAAATATTATTTTAAACTCTTAATGTATATTCCCAGGACCATAGATTAATTAATAATTAATGATTTGGCATTGATGAACAGGTGAACATACGTTCCCTTAATCTTGACAGCACTCTACTCAAGTTTCAGTTAATCCTTCAAGTTTTCAAAGTTTAGAGTTTTTGAATATTTCCAGAACGAAACTTTGTGATCAAGATGTAATGAAAATATTATAAATCTTGTTGATTTGAACTTTGACCCGAAACTACAGGAATTGGTCGATTGGATTGAAATGGATGGCAATAGGTATATTTATTGTTATTGTGATTATTAATTAGTAATGTTCATTATTTTTGATATCATAATTTATTATTTAAAGTACAAGTCTCTCAATTTCATCAACTTCAAGTGATATATTGCATAACTTTTCTGGCAAGAAGAATGTGCTTTTTTTATTGGCTTATTTAAAATGAATTATTTTTTTTACTTATTGGTAGAATTGCCTTTAATAAGCAATGCTACTGATGTCGGTATTTTGCACATTGAAGCTATGAAAAGGTATAATTAATTTATTACTAAACGAATTTTTTTTCCCAAATTTGTTTATTTAAAAAAAAATTAATTTCTTTTTTTTTACATATTATCTTTATCTGGAACTAAATTAATTGAATAAATTGATAGCCTTATAAAGTATGAAAATATTTTTTTAATTTAATTTAAGTCATCATATTATTATATAAATTTTTTTTTTCAGGAAGTATACACTATTGGCTTTATATATATCGGTTATATTTATTTGTTAAATATTTAATTAGTTTTTTTTTTCTGATTATTAGATTTAGAAAACATCAGATATCGGAGTNTATTTAGGGTCTGGATTATATTTTAACCAAAATTAAGTATAATTCCAGCTAAAATTAAATATAATGCAGGCCAAAAATCATCTAATTAGTTTCGCAATATTTTATTTTTTAATAATTATTTATATTTAATTTATTATTTTTATTAATTATTATTTTATCTATAATCTACATATTTTTAATTATAAATTATAAAAATTGACAGTTTAATTTATATTAATTATTTATTTTTTATTAATAATAAAAAAAATGATTGTTAATTTTAGTAAATTGACAATTAAATTTACTGATCTATAAATAATTTTAATAAACTGAAATTATATTTTATTAAGCAAATTTAAACCTATATTATTTAGAATTTTACTATAACTTATATTTTGAGTTTTAGCAAATTAATATAGATTTAAAATGTGATAATTTGATTTTTAGTAAATTAAGCCTATTTTAGTTAGTGTTATTCACGAGCTGAATTAAGTCGAATTTTGAGTTAATTTTTTATATGATAAAACTTGTCCTATGCTAATTTTTATAATACTTTAACTATATTATTTATGTAATGCGAGTCTATGTGAGTCATTTCAAGTCACATATGCAGGATACTAATTTTAGTAGAAGCAAAAAGTGCTAAATTCATGCAGATCAGTTATGAGTTATATATGTGATGCTGTCTCTTATACACATCTGACTTATCCCATCTAGATGGTATCAAAAAGATAAAGATGCGTCGCATAAAGCATTTATTGTTGCTGATAAGTTTCAAAACGGAATGTCCACAAATGCGATACAAGAAAATAATGTTGGATATCTATGTGCTATTGATAAAGAAAAGGAAGACCTTCTTGAACATCGGATGAATCTTCTTGATGAAAAGATCATGTATGGTACACTTCATGGGACATATAAAAAAGCTTTGCGAAAAGCTTTACAGACGAAGACAGATTCATTACGCTTGATCAAAATTCTAGAGGATTTTGCCAATGAGGATAGCGAATTTGAATCTGAAGACGAAAGATTAGGTGAGGAAGAATTTGACGAGAGTGACAAGGAGAATATAAACCCATTCCAGCTAGGAAATCCAAAAATAAGGCGTGGTAAAGGAAGACCGGCGGGTACAAGAAGGTATAAAGCATCGAATGAGAAGGATCAGAGCGAAAAAACAAAGCAACGAAGGTGTTGCAAGAAATGTGGCAATTTGGGACACTATCAAAAGAATTGTAATGCTTAGTTCTTTAGTGAATAAAGATTCTTTAATGCTTTCTTTACTGTTAATCGTTCTTGAATGCGCTTTGACGTATGCGCATATATTTAATCACGTGTTATATGTAATGTGACTTAGTTGCTGAACGAAACTCGGATGTTTAAAAAAAAAAAATAAACAAATAAAAGACCCAGTGCAGGAATCGAACCTGCATCTTTATGATAAAAAGTATATTATCAAGTGTTCTACCGATTGAACTAACTGAGCAATTTTTTTTTATTATTAATAAATAAAGGTTTATTTATATATATGTATGTTTCGTGATTTGATCACATAGGGGGGTCAATGCATCGGGAGGTCGATAAATTACAAAATCCTTATATAAATTTAAAAAAAAAAATTTATTTTTCTATAAAATAAGAAATAGGATTATACAATATTAAAAAAGAAAATTTATATATTAATTATATAATTTCAATCACTAATTATTATTTATTATATATATTACAGTTCACCTTCACTATAGTGAATCTTATGAACTGAAGATTAAAATTCGTTATAATGAGAAATTCACTATATTGAGGGTTATTTTATTATATATAAAAAAAATCTCTACCTTTATTATAGCAAGTTATTCATTATATAAAAATTCACTATAGAGAAGATGAACTGTATACAATATAATTATATTTGTAATTTATTTATTTAAATAAATTTTTTTTTATTGTTTTTTCTTATTTTTTATTTTTTTTTTAAAAAATAGCATTAATAATATTTTTTTTTTTATATATATAAATAATTGAAAATAATTTTTATTATTAAGATAAGTTTTTATTTTATTACTTTAAAATAATATTAATACTCTTTTTATTTTTTTTTGCTTTTTTATGAACTATTATTATTATTAGTTTTTTTCTTTTTTTTTAATGCTTACTTTATTTTTGTAGTATTTTTTAAGTATGGTTAATAATTATTTTTATTAATATTATATGTATTATATAATCAATTATAAATAATTGGCAATTATATTAATATATTATTTAAAATATAAAACTTATATTATAAAATAACTATATCTAAAAATTTATAAGAAAGTTTAATATTATTTTTACTATACTGATTATTAAATAACTTTTTTAATTTCATTTCAATATAAATTTTATCTAGTAGTAATGATAAGGTAAATTTTTTTTTTTTTTTTTTTTTGTAAAGACGCAATCATGTTTATACATGAAACCGAAATTGATTAACTTTGACTTCCAAAATGGTCGAAATGGTCGAAATGATTTTGACTTGAGCCCCTCCAAAAGTCGAAATGGTCGAAGTAGGACCCGGACATCACATATTATATATAACTCACATTTGAGTTTTAGCAAATTCAATCAAAATTAGGTTAAACTCATAATTTTAGATAGAGCAAATTGATTGAAAATTAATTAATAGTCATAATTATGAGTTTTAGCAAATTGTATTGATTTTACAAAGTCATATTTTATATTTGAGCAAATTGGTACTTTTTTTTAAATTTAACTTATCCTTTTTTTTTAACTTTATAAATAATATTTTTAAAAATATTAGTTTCGGGGTCCGGGTTATATTTTGGCCAAAATTAAGTATAATTCCGGCCAAAATTAAGCATAATGCGGGCCAAAAAACCGTCCGTTTAGTTTCGCAACATTTTATTTTTTAATAATTATTTATTTAATTTATTATTTTTATTAATGATTATTTTATCTATAATCTACATATTTTAATTATAAAAATTGGCAGTTTAATTTATATTAATCATTTATTTTTTTATTGATAATAAAAGAAAAGATTATTAACTCATATTTTGAGTTTTAGCAAATTAGTATAGATTGAAATGTGATAATTTGATTTTTAGCAAATTAGGTCTATTTTAGCAGGAGCAAAAAGTACTTAAATTCATGCAGATCAGTTATGAGTTATATATGTGATGTCCGGGGTCCTATCAAAGTCATATGATTTTATAGTAGACAATAATATTAAAATTCAAAGTTAACGAACTCCGCATCCAGTGATTCGATTTTTATGATCTTTATATGGTTGGATTCAGCTCATCGAGAGGATCCCAATGATATGTATTTCATATTTGTAGCATTAATATTGACGGAGTTATTCACGTTTAAAATTTGGTATTAAATAGTCATAATTTTTATAGTAGACAATAATATTAAAATTCAAAGTTAACAAACTCCGCATCCAGTGATTCGATTTTATGATCTTTACACGGTTGGATTCAGCTCATTGAGAGGATTCCAATGATATATATTTCATATCTGTAGCATCAATATTGATGGAGTTATTTACGTTTAAAATTTTATATTAAATTATAATTATAAAAATCATATGATTAGGATGTAATTTCGACCATTTCGACTTTAATTTCGACTTTTGACCTTCCCAAGTTGAAATATTTCTACTTTTGGGCTTTAATTTCAACTTCATGTATAATCATGTTTATTGATAATAATGTTGAAGTAATACAATATATTTACAAAAGTAAAATAAAATAAAGTATTTTAAATAAATTTAAACATTATTAATACACTGCCCCTCCAAGAAAAAGACTGACCTGTCACCTTGAGGCAGTGTTGTCATAGGGATGGGACATGTCCATGGATGGGACGGGACAGTCCAGGACACGTCCAAAGATTTTAGCAATGTCCGGGACATTGGGACATTAAAATCACGTGATCTTAATTATAAATTATAGCCCATTAGGTGCTGTCTTGATAAGACAAATTGTAAACTTGGACAATTTTTGGATGGGACGTGGATGGGACATGGACGGGACAATGTCCGGGATATTAAAATTTTGGCGGGACATGTCCCATATACAACACTGCCTTGAGGTCAAAGGTAACATGTCATGAAAGATCTAAAAATTTGACCAGTGACTTTCCTCATGTAAACCGTATTTTTCTTTTTAATGAATATTAGCTATACGTAAATACTGTTAGATGTAAGGTTACTTGTTTAAACCTCTTCAAAATCCTACAATTAGTTTCATCAAAATTTTACTATAAATTTATTATAGTTTTGGCAGAGTTTTGGCAGTTTCAGCATTTATAATAAGTTTCAGCAGTTTCACCTTTTTCCAAAGTTTTACCAGTTTTTTAATATAACTTTAATATAGTTTTGGCAGAATTTCGCTTTTTGGTGAAATGCCATTTTGCTTAAACCTCTAAGTTTCGACAAGTAACCTTAGTTAGATGTAGAATGATGAAAAAGGAAAATATAAGGTTAGCTCTATCTAAAAGATAAAAAAGAAATAAAATTTTTGTTACACTAAACACACTTTAAGAGTGAACTCTTAATCACAAATTATATTATACTATTTACGCTGTTTATAACTATTACATTGATCATATCTAGATTAGTGTTTAACTTACACCTTTCTAACGCTTGTAATAATTCATTGTACCACTGATCTATAAGATTCATATCATAAACAATATCATTTTTGCATTTATATTTATGATCTGCAGCTTTTGCAGCCATTAAATTACAATTAATAAAGATATGATACATCATATCGTAATCTTCCTTTATTGCAACCTTCTTTTTGGAAGAGTATTTTCTTTAAAAATACATATCATTGCAAAGTCATCTTCATCAAACATATGATTGAGAAAAATGTCTTCAGTCAATTCATTAAAAGCACTATGACTATTTATTTCACTATATAGAAGCGCTAAATCACTAGACTTAATATACTATTCTGTCATAATAACAGCTGTGGGTTTCCAAATATGATGTGATGGCTGAGAATAAGTCACCACTTCACCATTATTAAGAAATTTCCATTTTTTCATATTAATAAAGTAAATTTTCATTAAAATAATAGTTTTTATATTATATATGATTAATAAATTCCTGAAAAAAAAGTATAGAAAACTAAATAAAAAGTGAAAACTTACTTTTCAAAGCAATAAAAAATACTGATATTTAACAATTTATTTCAAATTTAAATTTAATGATCAATTATATTAGCTTTATTATAATAATTTAATAATTTTATTATTTATAATTAAAAAATAGCTAAATTACAAAATAAAAGAAAAATTTAGATTTATCATATTATTTAAAAAATATAAAGTGAGATTCTTTATTACAAGAAATATACTATGATAAACTTATATATTAAATAAAAGATTTAGAATTTCAATTAAATTAAATAAAAAAGCAATTTTACTTTTCATACTATTTAAAATTAAATAACTATTTTAAACTTAAAGTAGTTATAATTCTAATTAAAATTGCTATAATGCAGATCAGGATTAGGAATTGGAATTGTTTAATTTTAGAATAGTATAGTAATTTAATTTTTATTTATAGAATTATTATTTAATTTAAATTTCAGATTAAATTGAATGGATCACAAATATTTTATATAAATATTTTTATAAAAAAATTAGAATTTAATAAAATTTGAAAAATTGATTAAAAGTTATAATATACAAGTTAAAGGATTTTTTATTATAATTTTTCAATTCATAAATCAAAGCAAAAATTTACAAATAAACATGATAATTATTAAATCAAAAGGTAATACTACTTTATTATTAAATTGCAATAAGTTAGTGATATTAAAACAGCAATTAAATTATTTTTAATTGATTCAAGTATATCAGTAACTTGTATAAATACTTTAACAAATATAGAAATTTGTTTAATATACCATACTTTATATAATAAATTAGAAGATATTGCAACTTAAATACTGATTACTATTAAAATAATTATTATATTCAGGTACAATAGTTTTGAATTAGATAATTGAACCTTTCTCCACCTCCCAACAATCCACAAGACACAATATGGCTGCCATTGGTATAGTTACTCCTATATTTTATAGTTGAGAAGATGAAGACCTTAATTTTTTTATTAATAACTTTTTAGGTTATATTAACATTGTTGGACCGTTGGTATTGATCCATTGTATTTATTTAGTATAATAAGCTATAATAGGTTGTATTAATAATTATTATAATTTGTATAGTATATAAATTCCTTCTGTAATATCTAAAAATTAAATATTACATATGTTTAATGTATTAACATAGTGATTATTGGCAGGTATATTACAATAGTTTTAGTATTTATATACAGTTTGTACTTGTACCTATCATAATATTATACATTTATTAATAAAACATGATTTAATATTAGCAAAATATCACTAATCTTTTATTATACTTGTAACTATTTATCTATACATAATCCAAATGGTGTAAATATACTTATTATTAAGATAGAACTTTGATCTATACATTTTATTTCTTTAGGCAAAAGTTATAATTTAGTTAAATCTAATTGAAATAATTATTGTAAAGGAGAATTAATGGAATTATTAATTATACAATTATATAATGCAAATTTATGAAAGAAATATGGCCAAAAATTTGATTAGACAAAACTTGATTTACTAGAATTATCATTATAATCTTTTATTAAATATGTAATTATGTAATTTATTCATAATTATAAATTACTTACAATAACTTTTTTTTAAAGACTATCTGAAATAAAATCCTATTTAGAACAGTATATCATTCCTATTTTTGCGATTTTTCTAAACAATTATAGTATTTATTAGACGAGAAATTGTTAGTATTTATATTAATATCAAATATTAGTGCACATCTAATTCCTGTATGAAATATGTAATAGCATATGATATCAGATTATAATTTTCATTCTTAGAGATTACCAACAAACCAATGGTGAGACAAGTGACGACCGTGTTGGCCATTAGTTCGATCATCGAACTCTGTTAAAATAATTGAGAATTCGATGAAGCTATAGGTTATTTAAGTGAGAAAATCTCTTAAATGAATAAAACAAAACAAATAATAAACAAACAAAACATACCCCTAATCTACGATATATTCTAGTTTCTTCTCGAACCGCAACTTAAACCGCAACTTGAACCGCAACTTGAATCGAAGTTAGGTATTCTAATTTATCTTCATTGCTAAGCCCATTGTAAATAAACGCGACGATGCGGACAAATTATCATGAACCCTCTGCAAATCATCTGATAAAACTAGAGGTGTTACAGAAGTTGCGTTCCTTGGATCAGAAATTGCGTTCCTTTCTTGTGTAGAAGTTACGTCCGTTTCTTGTGTAGTTGAATTTTCAGTTGGCCCTAACCCTAACCCTAAACCCTAAGTACAATTACATCTTCAGAAGGAGGTATGGCAGTTGCATTTCAGCTGAAATGACAGAATGTTGTTAGTAGACTTTACTAAATTAAAAAAATTATATTAACTTACTCATATTGAAATTAAAACAATGAGAAAGAAGTGATTAAGTCAGTGATTAAGCCACTAAAAATATTTTATGTGGTAATAGTAACACATGACATAAAATGATAAACTTGCGTAATAATAAAATAAATATTGGTCACAAATCTGTCACAAATCGATTCTGACCAATCATAACTAGAGACTCGGACGAAACGAATAAGAAAAAAAGAAACAGAATGATTTTAACACAATTTGTTTCGGGATGTTTTATGTCAAGTTTATTCTTATTCTTTTTGTGTAAAGCAACTGACCGGTATTAGTACGTGCAGGACTGAGTATCGAATTTTTAACGCTCACCGGAGGTGATTTTTACCGTATCACGTGATTTATAATTATTTTCATTAAATTCGTTTTTAAACATTGTACAATTTTTAACATATCAAAAAATAATAAAATGTACAATATAAAAAACGTGTAAAATTTCTCCTCTTTGTAATTATAATTATTGAGTAAAAAATGATCAAGTTTCATTAGAAGTAGTGAATTACAAGAAAAATGTTCAGAAAAGACTTCCACCCACCATGGTACAATGGTTCTTTATATAGATTTTCAAAACCCCTTAATACTATGCATGTATTTTTTGCGTTCGCTCCAACTGCTAATTAAGTAAATTATAACACGACGCATATATACAGTATATTACATTATTGGTACCAACTGTTAAATAATCAAATGATTTAATAAACTTGTATAGATAATGAGGGAGTGAGGGTAGTGATAAAAGAATGAGAATAATGATAAAAATGTAAAAAGAAGCGAAAATGATGATAGGAGAGCAAAAGTAATGATAAAGGAACGAAAATATGATGAAAACACACAAAGAAACAAAAGGGAAGTGAAAATTATGATGAAAAAACGTAAACAAACAATAGATGATGAGAGGAACGAGGGGGCGAAAATGATTATGAATAAGCAAAATGGGACAAAATAGATGATGAAGAAGTGAAAATGATGATGAAAAAACGTAAAGGGATAAAATAGATGATGAGAGAGCGAAAATAATGATGAAATAGCATAAAGGGATGAAATAGATTATGAGGGAGCGAAAATGATGATGAATAAGCAAAAAGGGACGAAATAGATGATGAGGGAGTGAAAATGATGATGAATAAGCAAAAAGGGGGCGAAATAGATGATGAAGGAGTGAAAATAATGATGAAAAAACGTAAACAAACAAAATAGATAATGGGGGAGTAAAAATGATGATGAAAAAACGTAAAGGGACGAAATAGATGATGAGGGAGCGAAAATGATTATGAATAGGCAAAAAGGGGCGAAATAGATGATGAGGGAGCGAAAATGATGATGAAAGAATGTAAAGGGACGAAATAGATGATAAGGGAGTGAAAATGATGATGAAAAAATGTAAAGAAACAAAATAGATGATGAGAAACGAAATAGATAATGAATAAGCGAAAATGATAATAAAAAATGTAAAAGGAATGAAGGAGATAATGAAGGAGCGAACGTGATAATGAAAGTATAAAAGAAACAAAGTAAAGTGATAAGAAAGTGATGATAAAAATGAAGAGGAAGCAAAAGGAATGATATAGAGAATAAAAAGAAATAAAAAACTGATTAGTACTGTAACTACTGTTTAGTAATGGAAAAACAATAACAATAAAACAGTAAGAAAGCTTTACCTTAAATTCCTTGAAACTATTTATCTAAAGAAGACGAAGTTAGTAAAAAGCAAGCAAAAAAAAATAAAAAAAATCTAAAATATTTTAACGTGTAAAAAGTGTGTAGTACAAAATCACCTGGTGAATTTCACCGGGGTAAAATTAAAAATTTTAATAATTTGCTGAAATTCACCGGAGGTGAATGTAAAAATTAAATTATTTTGCCTCTTTAATCAAATACTGTGATTATTAATCGCAAAAAGAATTATGATTTATTTTTATATCATTTATATGGTATTCCGTGATTTTTTTATAATTATAATAAAACGTGTATCAGGCATTGATATTTATATTATTGAGAAATTACACATGTTTCGCATCTTAATGATATAACATTCTCCTTATCCAATAACTATAATTCATTTAATTATAAAGTAATTAATAATTCTTGGTTAGTACAAATTTTAGCAAATAAATTATTATAAATTAAATTTAGTTTGAAACATTTAGATCAAATTTTTATTTAGTGTACCATTATAATATTATATTGTAACTTTTCTTACAATGTCCAAGGAATTACAGCAATTAATACTGTAGAGAATAAACTCATTGAAAATATATTTGTAGAATTAAACGAAAGTTTTGTAGATTTCAGACAAATAAAATTTTTTGAAATTTTTATGCTTGGTTTATTAACTTGAATAAAGCTTGTTACTTGGAATCTTGTATATATCATGTAGCCAAAATCTCGATATTGATACAATAATATTTTGCCTTCTTATAATGACATTAGATTTAAAAGAATCATGAGAATTCTTCAGAGAATTTTAAACTTTGAATATCATTAAGAAATTGTTGCAAAGACATTTTTGTAAAGTAATAAATGATTAAAGAAACCTGCATGTAAAAACACGTAAAAAAAAAAATACTCTCGATTTATCTCGTTCCTGATTCTGATTGGTCATTTATTTCATTTCGAAAAAAAAACCCCAGGTTTATAAATATGAAATTGGTTCACATTGTACAAAAAGTTCTGACCAATCAAATTAAACTAAAAACTAACTGAAAAAATGTGATTAAAACATAATTATTGTAAAAAATTAACAATTCTTTGGAGATCATAATGACAAATTGATTTACATAACTGATAATGATTTACCAATGTTCAGAATTTACCGTCACAATTCAAAAAATGATACAAGAGCATTAAGCGAAAATTAAATGCAGACTTTTTTTTTCAATAATTTATCGCACTTTGACGTTGGATTCAAGTCTAAATCGAACACGATCATCTTATCGCATGATAAAATTTATTTGTGATTTATTGATTTATTTATCATACCACCTTTTCTACCAATCAGATAACGCATACCATTAATTTAACCTTATTAATTAATCATTTATTTGAAAAATATTTATAGATAAGAATCTTTCTTGGCATTTCCTATCAACATTCGCCTAATAAAACCAAAATTATCATTAAAAAAAAAAAGAACCTACTAATAAAATGGCAAATGATAAATTCAAGTTGAAATTGAAAACGGGTTTGTCGATAATCAAAAGGATTATAGAAATTGGGAAAAATGTCCCATTAATACAAACGGCTTCCGCAGTTGCAGAACAAATTCAAAAACAAATCGAAATTCAAGTAGACAATGAAGAAATGTGGGCAGACATTAAGGAAAGAGTTTGTACTGCACAAGAACAACTGAACCGTTGTAATCTTGATGAAAGAAAATATAATCGAGCATACAAAAATTACATTGAAGTTTTAAAATATATTAATCTGTATATGAAAGAAATGGGGAATAAGGAAAGTTCGGATGATAAAATTTACAAGAAGCTCAAATCTTTTGTAAATGCTTCTCACGTGAGTATTGTCCCTTGTTAAATTTTTCGATAACCATCCCTTAAAGAGATTGAATTTATTAAAGCTTATTATTTGCACTTACTGTATTTTATACACAGATTAATGAAGTTTATAAGGAACTTTTACATAAACTTGATGATGCAACTAAAGAATTTCATTTTGAAATAAACATAGAAACGTACAATAAAGTAGATGTTTTAAATGATAAAGTGGATATTATATGCAACATGATGAGTTTAGCTTTCTTAAATAAAGGATTTGATCCTAACCCCAAAGATGTGAATTTAACTAAGCTTTATGACAACGATATCGAGGATCCTGAAAATGATGATAAGGATATTCGAGGTGATGGCAGAGTTGAAAAAAAATACTATAATGGGGAAACAGTTGCATTAATAAAAGTTAAATATCCGCAAAATCAAAATGACGAAGAAAAAATTCGTAAATCAGCTATATATCATTTATATCTTAGTGCTTGTAATTCGATTCTCAGATTGTGAGTATACTATATTAATATAAAGGCCCGAGCAATATGCATTTAATTTGGCTGGACAATCATAATGTCGGTCAATGTTCACGAAAAACTATCCAAAAAAGAAAAGATACAGAGTTTTCTTTAATGCTCAATGCTCAAGGTCTCTATTTTATAATAAATGGTATTATTGGCGCATTATTAAGTATTTTATCGACTTATCTTTTTATCCTTATAGTAAAGGAACGTTAGCTTCAAACAGAAGTATGTATATCGTAATCGAATGGGCTGAATATGGGTACCTTGAACTATTTCTTCAGAAAGATATCGCTTTTCCTTGGTCTGAACGCATAAAAATTTCACAACAAATTGCTTCTGCGATTCAGTTTTGTCATAATAATCATATCCTACATCATAATCTCCGTAGGTAATTTATTTATTTAATATATCTCTTAAAGTTATTACGTTATCAATATTTTAACTGTTTTCTTTATAATTCTTAGTAAAAATGTCTTAATTGATAAAGACTTAAATGCTAAACTTACCGGATTCGAGTCAGCTAAGTTTAGTTACGAAGGAACTCGACCTACATCGGATGAAGATGGGATTAGGTAACAATATTATTAAGGTGTTTTCTACAGAAAATAATACGTAGAAAACAAATTGTTAGAATGACGTATGCACTTTTTTAAACGGTATAATAATCAACATATTATAATTTAAAAATAGGTATTATCCGATAGAACGATTTGGTGTAGAACACCACTTATGGTGTAAAAGATGTGATATTTATAGGTGAATATAAAGTAAGCAATCACTATATTATTAACATACAGTATTAATTTAGGGTTTATTTTTCAGTTTTTCAGTGTTACTCTGGGAAATCGCTTCAAGAAAAAAACCGTTTGAGGATATCACAACCAAACGACTAATAAAAATGTTACCGGAAAGATTGCGAACTGGTGAAGGTCCAGGCAAAATTGATAGTGATATTCCATTAAAGTTTAAAGAGATAATCGATAGTTGTGGCTCCTTAAATCAAAAAAGTCGACCCGAAATTAAACAAGTTTCTAAGGAGCTCAACTCTCTATATCTCAATCATGGGAAATAATAAATAGTTTTTCTTTCCCCAATCGGAGGTTAGTCAAGATGACAAATCTTAATTTAAAGTTTTTATTAAATATATTCAATATTAAATATAACATAAAATATTATATAAAAAATAAAACTAATTAAAAAAATTTGGATCAAAGATTTTTCTTCTTATTATTGATAGAAAAAATATTTTTATGAAGCATGCAAAATAAACTATATCTGATATAGAAGGTTTAAAATTAATAAATATATTAACACTACTATTAAATATCATTACCGATAATAGCTTACCTATGATTTTTTTTACTTTTATTCCATTGTTTATCAGCAATATTAAATGGGTTTGATTTTGATTTCCAATCAAGTTTGAGCCATCCAGATATGGTCTTCACTAATTCTTCAGCAGTTGGGCGCTTTTTTGGATCTTCATCTAGACATTTTTCCATTAATTCGACATAGCACTTTGGCGTTTCAAGAGGAAATTTAGGACGTATGCCCTTGAAAATTTCAATCCTAAGATCATTGGTATTGTAATTTTCAAAAGCACGATTGTGCGAGGCAAATTCAGTCATCAAAATACCAATTGCATAAATATCAGATTCTTTGGATTTGGGATCATCTAACAATAATTCCGGTGCAGCGTGTGGAACATTTAACCCAGATGTTTTGGATTTGGAATCATAACCTAATAATGTAGTTTCTTTAGAATTTGCAGGTCGAGACAGGCCAAGATCGGTAATGCAAATATCACTTGTATATTTTATTAGTATATTCCCACCATGAATATCGCCATGCACATAGTCAAGCATATGAATACCGCGTAAGCCATTACAAATAAAGTATAGATACTGAATTTTTTTATGCCACTTCAATCGGTCTTTTCCTTTATTAAATAACACATTTTTAATATCGCCTTTTGGTAAATACTCCATTACTAATATGAAATTCATTGATTTTGGGTTTTGTGAGATTCCATAATATCTGCAAACCATCCAAATATCTGACCTATGAAACTCAATATTGGCCTTTAACTTACAAATATAAATAATAATGATAATAATAATAATAATATATAAGAATATAACTGATATTACTCAAAAATTAAATAAATAAATATTAAAAATTACCTCATTAATATAGTCTTGATCAATATTTTTTGATTCCTCAATCTCTTTTAATGCAACAGTACATGGTTCACTACGAGTTTTGATCCAAATCCCATTATCTTCTTTTTTTGCTTTTCTAATACCATCAAGCCAAGTCGCCTTATAAACTACTCCGAAACCACCTTCTGCTATACGTTCAATATCTACAAAATGATTGTAAGGGATAAATTCCAAATAATTGTAATAATCTGGAGCCAATCTTTGGGATTCCTGAATTAATAAGTTAATATTATCATTTCCTGTCGACCATTTATCAAATTTATCAACAAGTTCTTTTTGGTCACATGCATCACACCAAGCAGGAGCATTGTATTCATTATCGCATTTTGGGCAATTACCAAAATGTGGAAGTTCCTCATCACTATCAAAATCTAAACTGTCTAATATATCAAATTTATATTCTGATAACATTTTTTTAAAATTTGTTTCAATTTAAAGAATTCAAGTATTTCATACTTAGGAAATGATTGATATAAATTGTGTACAATCAGGTGATAAATGTCGGGATTATTTCCCGATCAGCTGATTATTCGTGTTAACTATATTAATATATTTTTTATTAGATAATATGAAGTGATTTACAATGATCATTTTTTTAGGAAATAAATATTTCTTTAGAATGCACACAAGTATTTTTCGGTAATATTAATTAGGACCAATGCACAACTCCTCCAGCTTTATGACACATAGGGTGCATTCATAAATTTTAATTGGATTGGATAGATTTGACGCCTTGATTCGATATTCACAAATTACAAAATTGATTTGGATTGGGTTGTCGATACAATCGACATAATTTTTTTTTTGTCAAATAAATTTTCTCAAAAATCTAATCCTCTTATTTGTGAATAAGCATTGAAATTTATGAGGATCTGATCCAATCCAAATGGATTGAAAATCCGAAAATCGTACCGGTTTTACGGAATTTATACACTTCCACTTAACCTAATAACTCTAGGCGATAAATTAGACTAATAGTATTTCACGATTTCGCTGCTCAAAAAATAGTCCCCCATATAAATGCAGAAACGGAAGCAGAAGGGGTGAAGAAGTGTGTCAAGTATTTTTAGTATGATCACGCGCAGAGCGAAATGCGAACATGTAAAGTGATAGAGTATTAAGGTTATCAACCAATTGACTTATTTTATTAAAATAAACCTAATGAGCTAGCTGTGTTATATCCTTCTAATTACTAAATGGCAAGTTATTTAATAAAATATTTTTTTTTTAATTTTATAGGATTATCGAGAGTTAATTTGTTGCGGAAAACTTGATATTTTCTTACTAAATCGCTTCTAAATAAATTACAGTCAAAGATCATCAATAAATAATGTGATCACAAGATTATGAATATACTAACGCGATTGATGATAAATTATAATAATGTAATTCTAATAAATTTTATTTATCAATAGATTCTTTACAGATTTAAAAATGATATATAACTAATATAAGCCTTCTTTATTAATGGTGGATCTCTAAAAAAGTATTCGTGATTATTATCATGTATTTACATCGATCATGGGAGAAATTGGTCTTGTCAGTTTTTTATCCAATGGTTGTATATTTATCGGTGAATAATATCGAATAGGTTGAATAACTAATTGTTGTTAGAGCCCCAAAGCCATCTTGTATGAATCATTGTCTTTTCGTTTCAGTCCAGACAATCTATATCTCGGATTTAGTTACTGAATATCACAAGATTTTTTGATGCGATATTTGTTGTAACAGTCATGATTTCCATGTTCGTTAAAAATAATTTGATGGATTCCTTGTTTATTCATTTATTATTATTTTCTCCTTAACCTTCTTTAAAAAAGGTTTAGTGTAAATTCTCTTCTTTTGTGATGCAAACATGATGTTGGGCTGACCTTGATTATTTTTTTTCTTATTTGCATTGATGATTCACTGACATTTTGGATTAAACTAAGATTATATTAAGCAAACACTAAAATATTACTATTTCCCGCCCCACGATATAACATAAATGAACGTGGACAAAGTTATTCCCAAATTGCTGACGCTATCATCACGTCACAATTCTGATTCAAACACCGATTGTTCCATGAATTATTCCTATAAAATTAAATATTATATTATTGAGATTGATTATTCCTTAATTTTTTTAAAAAAAGGTAACTGAATATGGCACTTACAGTCTTACAATATATGTAAGTCTCATCGCATGTGAATATTATTGAAGCAGGACTAATTCAAAGAAAGAAAAAAATAAGATTATAAATTCATTACATAGAATTAGAAATTTATACATTAAATTTATTGATATATATATATATGTATGTATATGTATACCTTTTTTGAAAGCAAAGGGAGATACTTGAAACATCAATAATTCAAAATAATTTGTTGAATCAAAAACTAATTAAGCGAGACTATTTGTTGTCAGTAATTTGCCATGACCGACTCTCAACCGAACCTTGCTACCGTGGAGTCGCGGACGCTTTCCTCTACTGTTAAAGAATGAAATGTCTATACATTTACAGAAATTTTATTTTATTTCAAGAAGAGGAGTTAACGTTATCACAGTAAACTGAGTAAAGACATTTACAGAAAAATAAAATACCAACTTTTTATCCTATTTTAGAGTTATTATCACGTGAATTTCACGTATAAAGTAGATTATCAATCAGTAGATTGAATATACTGTATATAATATTCCCGTCACTAAATTATATATCGACTTATTTAGTCTACTATCAGTAATTAAAGTTATATAGTTGCATATAGATAGTACTGAATTGTGTTCTTCCTAGATATAGAAAATAAAAAGGTATATAACGATTCATATTTTTTACTTTTAAGATAAGATATTTCACTTAGCCATATTCCTCCATTTTGACTCATTCCATTCTTGATGAACTTGAGATAATTTCATACCATAGCAAAGAATATTGTTGAAAGAAATACTTGGCTATAAAACGTTCCGGTAAGATTTTACAATATTTGTTAAACTTATGCAGGCGTCAAATGATCATTTCAAGAAAATTAATTCATACTAACTAAATTTTAAAGATTCTCGTCACAAATATCCTCCTCCATCTTTGTCACAGTATCCTCTCTTCATCGACACAGTATCAACAAATAAACAAACACCAAGCATGAAAATACAAGAATAGTAGGAATTTGAATTCATTATCATCAAAGACACGCAAAAACAACACAGAGATTATTATTGAGGATGATGCACATTATAGGAAAAGGATTTGGTCATATTTAGAACGAGGTTCTGGGAAAGACCAAGTAATTATAATTACAATAAGAATTTCTATGATTAAATATTTATATTCACATTCTAAATCTAAATTTTTTAGAGACGCATCACGATCGTAGGGAGGGGAGAAACTCGCATGCGTACCGTAGATGATATTTTTATTTTAAATCTAGAAACGGACGATAAGATTGCATTCTGGATGATTATCAATTAAACCAATTTATATGAAGAACAAAGCTCTGATCAACGATGCGAGAGAATACATTACACAAAATTGTAGTCAATTGATGAGATATGTTGATATGTTAGGAATTATTTGAATAGAGTAGAGGGTAGAGAAAATGATGAATAAGGAAATTAATATTAAGAGGAGATGAATTTAAAATCTTCTCACTCAAAAAATTTTAACTAAATTCGTAGTCATAATTCACTCTTCTCTTTCTTCTTGCTCTTTAAGTGATGATGGTATAAATTTGGTGAAAATTTTTCTTGATCGTCACGTACAGTACATATCATAAGGCGAACAACCAACAGGTGGTACGCAATAAAGATTATGCTGGAAGGATACGTTAATAAGGTGAGCAACCAGCAGTTGATACGCAATAAAGATTATGCTGGAAGGATACGTTAATAAGGTGAGCAACCAGCAGTTGATACGCAATATAGATTATGCTGGAAGGACTTTTGTTTACCTTATAAATCAAAGGGAGAAAAGACAATTTATTGAATATGATCTGATTGGAAATTTAAATAAGGAATTGTAACAAAGAGACTATGGAGAAAAAGAGGATGTTAATTTGAAAGTATTAGTTAATTTATAGTTGATAATTGAATATCATTACATCTTTATTAGTATTAAGAAAGTTGAATTTTTACTAAAGTACACTTTTTGAAAGTAATGATTTATTTAATAAAATAGACTGACATGATGAATTGTCAATATTTTACAAGATGATACAAAAAAATATTTTTTAAGTATCTACAAATATGACAAAATAAAAATACATATACAAATGATGATTTTATCCGTGTAAAAATGTGAAATGAATGATTTCTTCGTAAGCGAATAAAAAAAAAAAAAGAAAATTCACGTTTCATAAATACTAAAATTCTAATTTAATAATTTAATGATATTTCCAATATCCAAAAGTTATATTTAAAAGATAATTTCTGTCATTTTTTGTTAGATCAGGTCTAAAATAAGGTTCAATAGGAGATGGAGGAGATGAAAGTATGATATCATCATTAACAGTCAAAAGTGATGAAATAGATGTTCTAGTAAAATATTCGACTTCATTATTATTATTATTCATCAAATTAATTGATAAAGATGATGATGATATGAATGTAGTTGTAGTTTGAACAGAAATTCCAATTTCATTTCCAACTTCACGTGCAAGTCGTTTTTGTTCGGAATTCCAAGCATTTTTTATTTTATTTGTAGAATGTAACTTATTAAAAGTTATCCTCATTTCACTTTGACAATGTTTCCAATTATAAGTACCATTTTGTTGATTGTTTCTAGCCCAATTATGAATAAAAATTCTTTCGATATCAGAAAGAGGATCAGGACAAACTAATCAAAGAAATAAAAAAAAAAATATATAATTTATTTTAACAATTTTAAAAAATCATAATTTTATATATCAGATATACAGTATATTATATTTTTATACATACGTAGAGGATTAAGTTTATCATTCCAACTAAAAAAAAAAAAATTTACAAATTTTACANTGTGTATAAGAGACAGGTAATATAGAGATTAGAAAAAAAAAATTTATTTATATATTAAAAAAAAAAAAAATAATAATTACTGATGACTAATTTGTTTGTTATTAAATGGTATCTTTCTACTTAATTCTGCGAATGGACTTGGATGGTTAGGATTTTCTAACATAAATTCTCTAATAATTTTTTCATTCTAAAAAAAAAAAAAGGAAAAAAAGAAAAAAAAAAAGTTAGGAAAAAAGATTAATACGAAAATTGTCCGTTCCAATTACTTAATTACTTACATATGGATCAAATAATCGGGGCATCTTTTTTTTTTTTTTTAAAGAAAAGCGATAAAAGAAAAGCGAAAAAAGAAAAGCGATAAAAGAAAAGCGATAAAAGAAAAGCAAAAAGGAAAAGCAAAAAAAGAAAAATTGGAGTCCAGTTATTTATATTGAAAAGTTGGATTATGGGTTTTTGACTTTGGCAAAACAAATAAGCGAAAGAGAACAAGTTAAAACCAGTTAAATTTCCAATTATGTTACCCAAGTTACCCACATAAATTTTATACAAACCGAAAAAATTGCCTTAATATGGATGATTTCTAGAAAAAGAACCGATGGTACATCAATAATTCGATTAATATGGATTAGAACTTTTTTTAAAAAAAGTATTTTTGAGATGATTGATTAGATTTAAATCATTCAATGCACGATGCCCCCTAATTCTCTTTGATTCATTTCCATTTTAGAGGATTAATGAGAATAACGAAGTTTTGCTATCGTTCTTCATATTTAGATAAATTAAATTCTATATATGGAAAGAATATATCATATTTAGTCTTTTGAATGAAAGATTTATGCCTTGTGATCTAATCCACATGTAACTAACAAATAACATAATTGTTCATATCAAGTATAATATTTTTATTTTGGCTTTTTTAATTTTTTTTTTTTAAGAAAAAAAAACCAGAAAAATTACATCACCTATTTGAGAATTAAGAAGTATATACTCTGTCTCTTATACACATCTAGATGTGTATAAGAGACAGGATTTATGCCTTGTGATCTAATCCACATGTAACTAACAAATAACATAATTGTTCATATCAAGTATAATATTTTTATTTTGGCTTTTTTAATTTTTTTTTTTTAAGAAAAAAAAACCAGAAAAATTACATCACCTATTTGAGAATTAAGAAGTATATACTAATGACGCAATTTTGTATTTAGCCAAAAAAACGATGATCTTGTACGACCTGCGCCATATCATTATTATCATGAGATTTTTCTGCTGACTATCATCATAACACGTTACTAAGCCAACAACCTTTTGTCGTTTATATCCGGCAAATTCCATTTTAGAAATCTAGAAATGCTTTTCAAGATATTTTAAGATATATTGTTCATTTATTTCTTTGTTCATTTATTTTTTTGTTCGTTTGTTCGTTTCTTTGGTAAAATTATAATTTGGAAATTGCAGTACGATTAATATTGAAATCTTTTTTTAATTTGCTGGCCTTTTATTATTATTTATTCAGGGGTAGTTTATTTTGTCGATCAACACGAATTTGTGTTCCCAATGGAAAAACTCATTTATTATTAATCATTCAAATGAAAAGGAAAAGAGAAAAAAAAGAAAAAAATAAAAATGAGAAAAAAATAAAAATCGATAAATGATTTATCCAACTTCTATGTATCTAATATTTCCTTTTATTATTTTGAGACATGGCTTTAATTGATGATTTTTCAATTACTCTAAATTATAATTGTTCAATTGTTTTCACTTTTTTGGACACAATTTTAAGCAGTATATGCCGTCATCATAATGGGGCAAAATCTCCGGACAATGCTAATTTTGGTCCTATTGTTCAGCCCAAAGCGTAACACACTGCTCATACTGCTTATATAAAAGTACCTACCTCCCCACCTTAAAAATTCCCAAAAATTTTGTTACATAATTTGAAAAAAAAAACCATGTCAAATGAAAGAGTAAGAAGAAGGGTAAACGAAAAGGTGAAAGAAAAATTGAAAGAAATAGAGACTCAACCCGAAATTAGGGACCCAAACGAGCCTCCTGTTCCTATTCTTACACGAAAAGAATATGGTGATGGATACGGAAAAGTGGGAAGACATGTTGAAGTGAAAGTCAATAGCTTTGAGGTGACAAATATCTCCAAATACAACAAATTTTTCAAGTATAATATTGAGATCAACCCTATTGATAAGGACATTGAAGTTGACGTCAAGAGGGAAAGGTCAGACTATGGCAAAAGTATTCGACGCAGAGTTCTTAAAGAACTTAGTTTAGAAATGGAGGATTGGTTTCATAAAGTAGTTTACGCATATGATGGTGGCTCTACCCTCTACACAACGAGTTATCTGGGATTTGATAAAGTGAAAGATGTAAAGGCAGTCGTAAAGGAAGAAATTAGTATTGCAAATTTACAAAATCTTGATGGAGAACCCACTCGATATAAAGTAATCATTAACCGTTTAGACACTATCATCGAGCTAACTCAAATAAATAAGTACATTAATGGAGAAGAATTTGAGTGGGAATTTTTTAGCGACGAAGCTTTTAACGTTCTCAACTCTCTGATCCATAAAGTGGGGATGGAAAATGAAAAATATATTCAATCCGGCAATAGTTCAATCTATAACAAAGAAAATAAGAAAAATATTAATGGTGGTGTTGAATTGTGTCTCGGATGGTTCTCAACCGTAAGGCCAGGCCAGGGAAGCTTGTTCATAAATGTGAATCCAACATACACCACTTTCTATCAACCATTAAATTTGGAAGAATTTCTTTTCCAATGTTTTTTTCCAAAGTATCAAAACATTCCTAATGAAATTAATGCTTTTCAACTGAAGAAAATTAACGAAATACTCAAAGGACTACTTGTTAAACCTCTACACCTGGAACCTATCCAAACTGGGAGACGTATTAGAAGGCTTCTAGCTGCTACCAAAGTAAATCGTTTTAGATATAAGCCAAGAGCAGATTCGGAAGAAACATTTCCACTTGAAAGATATTTTAGGGAAAGATATAAACTTAAGGCTTCATCAAGACTTTTTGTTGAATTAATGACTGACGATGACACAAGTATTGCATGGCCAGTCGAATTCTGTAAAATTATTGAAGGACAACGTTATAGCAATAAGAAGTTGTCTGGAAAACAAAGAGGAGAAATAATTTTGCTTGCAAAGTTTAAACCTTCCATAAATGAACAAGAAACGATCAGAGGAGCTAAAGAAATATTACAATTACAGAATGATCCTACTGGCGTTGGAATGAAAGTTGATCCAAATTTGGCCAAAGTGGATGCACGTGTAATTAAATCTACGGATGTTAAATATGCAGGAAAAATCATGAAACCTAACAATGGACAATGGAATCTCAAAGATGTCAAGTTTGTCGAAAGTGGGGAACGCCTCGAATTTTGGCATGTAGTGATTTTTGAACAAAGTAAATGGATGCCCAAAGGAGAAGTTATTAATTTTATCGAAAATCTCGCAAGACAATGTGAATCACAAGGGATGAGTATAGCAAGAAATAGGCCGGAAATTCAATATCTCCAATACTATAATAAGGGACCTAATGTCGTGAAACAAGCTTATGAAGATGCAAGAGATATACTTAGAAGGCCACCTCAATTGATAATCTTCATTATTCCCGGTGAAAAGTCACCAATCAATACCGAACTTTACGAAACCATCAAACGAGTTATGGATACTGAAATAGGTTGTCTTTCTCAATGTGTAAGCGTAGATTCTAGGAAAAATTTTCGCAGTCCTCAATATTGTGCCAACCTTGCTATGAAAATCAATCTTAAACTTGGAGGAGTAAACTCTATTTTACCAGAAGATAAATTACGACTTCCTAGTGGAGAAGAAGTACTCTTTCTTGGTGCTGATGTAACTCATCCAAAAGATAAGAATGGTAAATCCATCTGTGCAGTTGTTGGATCACTTGATAATCAAGCCGGTCGGTTCATTACAAAATATCAGGATCAAGAGCGTTCCGGAAAGGAAGAAATTCTTGAAATTGATAAATTGATTAAAGAAATCTTGAGGGAATATTGCGATTATCAGAAGAGAAGAAGTAGAGTCAAGAATAACGAAGTAATAACACTCCCACCATGCATTATTATGTATCGTGATGGTGTTAGCGAATCCCAATTTGAACGAGTTCTCAGGTGGGAACTTCCAAAGATTAGAGAAGCATGTAGATTGTTCCGGCAAGGTTATGAACCAAAGATCATTTTTTCAGTCGTCGGTAAACGGCATCATACGAGAATTTTCCCAGTAGATCCCAAAAATAGGATGGAAGCAGATAAGAATGGAAATTGTCTTGTTGGAACAATTGTTGACAAAAAAATCACACATCCTACACTTAATGATTTTTACCTCCAATCACACTTTGCAAATCAAGGAACAGCGCGACCATCTCATTATACTATTCTTCATGATGATATAAAATTAACAATAGATGAATTTCAAGGTCTAAGTAATACATTATGTTATAACTTTCAACGGTCCACATCCAGTGTCAGTATTCCAGCACCTACATATTACGCTCATTTAACTTGTGCCCGGGCGAAAATGTATTTGACAACACATAGGGGGAATATATATTTACCAAACGTGCACAGAAATCTCAAAAATTATCCAATGTATTTTATGTGAAACAAAAAAAAAATTTGGAAAAATAATTTGTGAAGAAATGATGATAAAAAAAAAAAAAAAGTGAATAAAAAAAAAATTAAAGGCGCGGTGCGGGGTCTAAGGTTATTAAGGTGTTTAAGGTGTTTAAGGTGTTTAAGGGTTTTTATGAAGTTTAGAATAAAAAAAGAAATTACCTGCAACACTAATTGCTATTATTGGAAGTTAAAAATAAGTATACATAGGATATTGCATTATGTAATAAAGAATTATATAGACCGGCATACAATTTATATTTGATATTCATAATATTAATAGATAATCTTAATAACAATTATATTAAATAAAGATTTTTTACTAACGATAATTAATATTACATTACAAGTATATCAAGTATATCGGTTATTAAATAAATCACGTGCATATGAAGTATAGTAAATTAGTAATTGTATTAACTGTTAATTGTATAAAGTTATTAAAAAAAGATGCTAGTTTGTGACCGGTTGGTTGATCGATCATGATTGATCAACGTTGCAACGTGGCACTCACGGAATTTCTCCCTATAAGGGAAAGTTGAGAAAGTAAAGTTTTGAAGATCCGTATACTTTAAAATAAAATATATTTTCAACGCGAAAAAAATGCAAGTGTAGAGAGCGAATATATAATAAATATTTCAAAACAATATTTTCAACGCGAAAAAAAATGCAAGAACCCAAGCCCCCCAAAAAAAAAGAAATTCAAAAAAGTTATACTAACTTGAATCAATGTATTTATTTATATATACGGGTATATCAATTTATTATTAGTTTCATCTTTTAATTTTTATATTACGTCATATTATGTAAATGCAGTTTTATTAATTTTATTACAAATGCATTAATTTATATGAAGTCGGAAAAGTCGGAATCACGGAAAATATAATAATGATCGCGTCAATTGCGTTTTTTTTTTTTATTGATTTCATAAAAAAAAGTTACATCAAAGCTTAAATATTACATAAAAAAAAAAAATCGTAATTTAAAAATCTTTATCTAATTATAATCCCGTAATACATATCAAACTTAAAAAAAACTTAATGTGTACTATATCTGTACTATCCGTATATTCTGTATATCAATCATATATACTATTGTATATATATATCATATATTATAATCTAAATATCATATTATAACTTTAATTATTCATCTAAATCTGATATAGTTTTATCACTTTCTTCACTTACTTCACTTTCTTCTTTTTCTTTCCTTTTCCTATTTCTTACTTGCCAATATAAATAATCCTTATCATAATCCTCCTTAAAATCATATTTAGCAGCCAAAGTAGTCCATTTTTCATCACTTAATATATCAAATTCACGAGGTGAAATCTGACAATATTTATAAGCATCATCGATTCCACATAATTTTTGACAATTAAAAAAGTGATAAATTCTAATGGTTTTTCTTATAACCTTATAATTTCCTTTTAAATTAATATCATTCATTAATTTTTGTTTAACTTTTTTTCCATTTTCTTGATTGAATTTTATTTTATATTGATTCATAACATTATAAAAACGGAATAAATTTTCAAATTTAACGTATAAATTTTTTTCAGTTTTACTTTGAATAGCTTGAACGATCCCATTAACAACAGCCTTTCGATCCACATCGTCTTCCATATTTAATGATACGGAAAAAATGTTATTATTTGTTGTTATATGAACATTTTTTAATTGAATCAATTTTTCAATTTCCTTAACGAACTTATTATAAAGTTTGTTATGATCCATTTTTAATAAATTTTATAAATAAATAATATATATATATATATTTAATATATATATATGTGATGTATATATATATATATATATATTGTGATATATATATG